ACTACCTGGTACTGGTCAGTGGAACAAAGTTGAGAATCTAGAAGTAAATCCATCCACCTGTGGACAGCTTATCTTTGACAAAGGGCCAAAACTTATGTGGTAACATTGTGAAAATGTCAATACTACCCAAGGCAATCTACAGACACAATGCAATCCTAATCCAGATTCCAACATCATTCTTTAAAGAGATGGAAAAACTAATCACCAACTTTAAATGGGAAGGAAAGAGACTTCAGATAAGTAAAGCACTGCTAAAAAAGAAAAAAAGTAGGAGGCCTCACACTTCCTGATTTCAAAACCTGCTATACAAGCCACAAAAGTAAAACTACCTGGTACTGGTCAGTGGAACAAAGTTGAGAATCTAGAAGTAAATCCATCCACCTGTGGACAGCTTATCTTTGACAAAGGGCCAAAACTTAAGTGGGAAAGAGAGTCTCTGTAACAAACAGTGCTGGCAAAACTGAATAGGCATTTGCAGAAAAATGTAACAAGACTCATATCTCATGTTGTAATTGTTGTTGTTATGTGCCGTCAAGTCAAACCCGACTCATAGCGACCCCTCCTTGGGTTTCTGAGGCAGTATCACTACAGAAGTAGATTGCCCAACCTTCCTTCTGAGGACTGGCTGGTGAGTTTGAACCTCCACCCTTCTGGTTAGCAGGCAAGTGCCTTAGGCACTACGCTACCAGAGCTCCTACCATATACAAAAACAAACTGAAGTTGGATCAAAGACCAAAATGTAAAACCTAAAACCATAAAGACCATCAGAGAAAAGGTAGGGACAAACTGAGGGGCTCTAATACATGACAGAAAGATACTATCAAACATAAGTGAAAATGCACAAACAGCAGAAGACAAACTAGACAACTGGGACCTTCTGAAAATTAAACATATATTTGTACCAAAAGACTTTGTGAAAAGAGTAAAAACAACCTACAGTCTGGGAAAAAAATTGACAACAATATATTGAACAAGGAACTAATCTTTAAAGTTTATAGAAACCTTCAACACCTCAATAACAAAAAGACAAAGAGTGCAATTAAAATAATGGGCAAGTTCTCAATCTCATTCCACAGCACAGGGAATCTCTTTCAGGCATAAACGGATCAACAGAAGGTTCCCTGAAGAAGTTTCTGACTACCATTCTTGAATGAGAAGCCCTTGAATGTTTAAGCAAAAACAAACAAACAAAGAATGTGAGAAGCCCTATAAAACAGTCAAGAATCAAACTAAAGTCAGAATTAGGTTCAAATTCTGGCTGTATCATTACATGCTAGATGGCCTTGGGTGGACTATTACTCTGAGCCTCAGTTTTCTCAAACAGAGTGGTTGACTTGCCTTTTTAATAATGATACTGATGACTGCTCCACAGAGGATTTTGTGAGGCGTAAATGAGACAACAGACACAACCCATCTAGAGCACTGCCTTGCACAAAATGGCTCAATCACCTGCATTTCTCTCCCCTTCATTCCCAGGTTAACTAGTGACAGTAAGAGGCCTCAGACCCACCAGGAACATTGAAATCTAAATGGAGGATAAGAAATGATCTGTTATAAATCATAAATAAGAAAATGAAGTCAGTACTTGGATTAATTAGGTCAACGATTCACAGATTTGAAGATTTTAGCATTTATCCGTTCCAGTTCCCTCATTTTAAAGATAAGTAAAATCCAGAAGGGTTACCTCTAAGATAAAAGCAATAACCAAATCCAGGATTCCCCTTTTGCTCCAGCACTTCAGCCTAGGAGACCAGCTCAGGAAACCCTGACCATTTTTGCCTGATTCAGTAGAATGTGATAAATTATAGAATTAGAGAACATGCTACATTCACATTTCTGACAGAATCTATGGAGACAGTAAGCATAGTGTTGAGATCATAGGCTCTGAAGGAGAAAGGAGGGTTTGGCAAATCACCTGCCCTCTCTCTCTAAAAGCCTCAATATCCTCATTTACAACCTAAACCAAAACCAAACTCACTGTCATTGAGTCGATTCTGACACATAGCAACCCCTATTGGGTTTCTAAGGCTGTAAATCTTTATGGAAGCAGACTACCTCATCTTTCTTCTACAGAGCAGTTAGTGGATTTGAACAACCAACTTTGTGGTTAGCAGCCAAATGCCTTAACCACTACACCACCAGATATCCTTTCATCTACCAAAGAGGGATTATAATGGTACCTATCTCACAAGGCTATTAAAAAGATTAAATGAAATAATGCACAAAAAGTACATTGCACAGTGTCTGGTATACAATAAGCATTCAAAACATGTTAGCTATTATTAACAATAACAGCAACAATAACTTACCTTATCTGACGAGATAACTGATTGTTCCCAACCATAATCACATGTTAAACTAACATTTATGTTATTGAAATGAAAGAAAAGAACTACACCAAAGATGGCATCCTAGGCACCTATATACAAATACACATCCAGTCTGAACATCCCTCATTGTAGCTTGAGCCTTTTGGAAGAAGTTGAAAATTGATGAAAAGAGAAAGGAAAAGGAAGAGGAAAGATAAAAAAATGTAGAGTGACTTCTCTAGGTTTTATTATTATATCTATATGATCAAATAGACAATAAGGTTGATGAGTCTCACACAACTGCTAAAACAGCTTCATTCCAACAAAGTGAGATCCTATATCTTATGATCAATTATTCCAATGGATGAAAGTAAGTTCATGGCTGCTATAAAATCTTACCACATGGAAATGCAAGTACTGTACTTACCAATTTAGAGCATCCATGCCTAACCCTTCTGCAATCTCTCCCTGAAGTAAAAAACACTGCATAGTTTATCACATATTTATCCCTTCTGTATGGGTAAGTATTCATATGTAAATTCTTAAATTCTAAGTATAACCTAAGTGGATCTCAAATTAACATTATTCACTTATTTATTTTATTACCAAATCCTAACAGCTTTTTGTCAAGATAATCTAAGGAAATTTGTATACTTGAGAAAGGGGGCTGGGAAGGAAAG